TCAACAAAATCAACAGAAACACAACACTTCTTTGGAAAGTTCTCGAACAGCAGCAGTGTATTAGGCCTCAAAACTGAAATGGCAGAGTTGCATTTCAGTAACCTCCCCTTAGCTGTGGAAAAGCCAAATGGGATCCACAGACCTTTGTCCCTCAGCAGAGACAATGAAAGCTCTGCACTAAATCTTGAACAAGAGGTGCAGAGCCATCAGTGAAGCCACCACACCACTGGACTTCTGCAATGTTCAATCCCTGTCTTCTCACCTAGATGGTCTGCCAGGACAGAAAGCTTTGGAAATGACAGAAAAGTTGGCAGTGAACTGGCTGGAGCTGCCAAAGGCACAGAAGGGTCTCTTCCCAAAGGTGAGCAGCTCTCAGGTAAGAATTTTGGTACAGCATTATGGTCTGGAAGATCAAGTCAATTGAAGTTGTTTCAAATGTACAAAACTCTGAAYAACAGAATAACTGATCAGGTGTCAGTTCTACAGAACAATCTAGAGCTTTAGCAGACCATGAGAAGGACACAAAAGTGTCATGTGTGTGAAAAGTTCTTCTTCTGGGCAAACAGTGGAGCCTGTAAGAGTCTTTCCACTTCATTCAGCCCCAACAAGGCCTCAGCAGGAGTGCTGCTTCCTGACCTTCAAAAAATKATGTGAATCAACAGGAAGAGTTCAAAGGAGAGTGATGAGAAYGATCAGAGGTTTAGGAAAATATGACCTATGAGGAAAGATCGCAAGAAATCAGGTTGTTTAGTCTRGAGAAGATAAGGCAGAAGAGGCAGATAACAGTCCYAAAAAGCAGTTACAAAGGGATACTCTGATTTCCATGTTCCTGTCAGACACGAAAAAAAATAAACAAACAAGCTTAAATTACACCAGTGACTCAGGAAAAAGTGGTTTGAGGAAAAGCTAAAGCAGCACTGACAGAGACCCCACAGGCTGAGGCACCTCCCCGGACATTCTGCAGAACAAATGTTTGTCTGCAGCAAATGAAGACACATCAGTGCTGCCTCCAGGYCAACTGATGGACAACACGGCCTCACATTCCCTTCCGGGCTATTGTTCCATGATCAGATTGTAATGTAGCTGCTATTTTTAGATGTGTCACAGTGGATGTAGCATGAAATTAAAACTGGATCATTCAGAGTCTTCTGCAAGCGACAGAATTACAAGGATAGCAAAAGGCTGCGCTAAACAGCACTTTTTACACCCCAGCGACAACTGCCACAGTCTGAAAAATGCCTCAGTGCTGCAACTCTCAATTTGAATACACTCCCCTCTGTTCTGTCACGACATGCTCTTGTACAGGAGAGGAAAAGCGAGTGACGGGGAAGGGCGGGCGATGGCCGCACCGTGCCTCAGTTTCCCCACAACCGGGGTGGGGGGGATCTTCCATCCCGCGTCACAGCGCGAGGCCACACGCGTGCAGAGACATCCCGGCGGCGTTCCCGTGCCCCGCGGGTGMGTGTGWGTGTGWGTGTGWGTGTGTGTGGTCCCCGCTCACCTGCGGAGCAGCAGAGCACGGCGGGGGCGGCCCCGGCGCCGCGCAGGCCGAGCAGGGCGGGGGCGAAGAACATCGCTTCGTCATCGGGGTGCGCCGTCACCACCAGCGCGCGCCCGCCCCGCGCGGCCCCGCGGGCCCCCCCGC